GTTCCATAATGGACACATGGAGGCTCCCTATTGGGGAGGTGCTTGCGAGCCCAGGCATCACTCCAATAAGGGATCTCCATGTGGCCATTATGGACACCCTTATGTATTGTGTTAAGTACCCATAGCACAACCCATTCTTTTGATCAAAATGAGAGGAATGCAGCTGCTGGTTGAAATTAAAAAAGGGGAGAATTACACAAGAAATTGGAGAGACAACATTGGCGGCTAGACTCACTACACCAAAAACTGCATATGGCAACGCGCGAAAAACGTTGCCATAGACTTTTGGCAACATTCGGGTGCACGTTGCAGAGCATGATGTTGCCGTAGAGTTCCAACTTTTTGCAATGCTCATTAAACGTTGTCGTAGACCTACGGCAACGTTCAGAGAACGTTGCGGAAAGTGTCTACCGCAACGTTCAATGAACGTTGCGNCAAAACAAGATAGAAGATAACAATATCAAGTAACTCCAATAATCATCAGTAACTGAACTCCAAAATGTAACAATATCTATACAAAATTCAGATAAAAATTTTGGAACATCTAAAAATCCAATACATTTCAAAAAATCCAATACATTCCAATATAAAAAGTATAACTTGTCTATCTGAGTTCAGTACAGTTTAACTAGCCAAAATGAAACAAATGACCAACTTGCAATCTCGAATCATGAACAGCTACCTCAGCACAACTGCAGCATTTCTGAGAGCTAAATACCGTTGTACGTAATCATTAGGAAGTGATCTTATCATCTTGAATACCTCACCATTGGCATAACAGCGTTTGCTCCTTGGATCTAAGTAGGGTGCCTGCACGGAATTGGAAAGTTCATAAATTGAATTGATAGATAGAGAGAACTTCACGAAGCAGAATTTCAGCAATGGAATTCAGAAAATAATCAATCAAGGACGAAGAGCTAATGCATACAAACTTAAGAGTAGCAAGCTCGAGCCAGCTCCAAAGGTTAACTAAATTGATTTCTTCGATATTCAAGTCAAGGCTCCACAAGATCACATCTCATTGGCAATGCAGGTTCAATGTACGCAAAAGACGAGGAATCTGCCTCATAAGAGGGGACACAAATGAGTTTTAGTCCAAAAAAGAAGTTTGTTATGCTATCATATAGTAAACCTCATTTTATTTTAACCACAAGTCTATACTTTCTTTGAACCAATAGTGTATACAAACTAATTTAAATAAATAACACCACAACTAGTCAACATCCCGCAAAGGAAATCCACGACACACAACTTCGATGCAAGATGATCAGTTAGCATGTTTTAGTGCTAGTTGACCTTCCTGCTTTACTAAAAATTAAATTCTTTTAAGTTAAAGACATGTTTGTGCACATACATTCATTATATCTATATCCTAGAACTAAAACAATCAAGCTAGCTCCAATCTGGAACCCATTCTTCTCAAGATTAAAAGAATACCAAAAAAAGCACAAGCATTTAGAATTGGGATATTTACAAAATATATACCTATATGGATAATGCTATGTGTACATAATATTTTACACAATCTTTTACACTCCCCTCACATGGAGGGGGACCCACACACAATAAAATATTTGTGAGCCCCCTCCATGTGAGGGGGTGTAAAACTATGTATACACCACAAGGTGTACATATAGCATTATTCATACCTATATATGAACTATTTACAGCTTTAATACCGTCTTTCTAGAAATTACAAATTACTATTCTAACCCCTGTTGAGTCTTAAAAACCACTCCAACAGATATGTAAACGTGAAAAAAGGAATAAACAACCATAACCCCTTTAAAAAAAACATTTATTGGCCTTTCAATGCCACTTTTGTGCTTCCTTTTTTGGCTAACAATCACGTCCTTCATTTCAACATGTACTGAAAATGAATTAGTTAAAATGAGAGCATATATGGAACAAAACCCAGGCCAGAAGCAGCATATTATAATCTTACATCATAGGAAACATAACTTAAACCCTCATCAACAAGATAGCAAGCAATAAATTCTAAATAGAACACAAAACAAGTCTTCTTTAGCATCAAAAAGAATTAAAAAACATAGATTCATTATTCTCTCAATCTGGCAAACCGAACAAAATCCTTTTCCATAAAATCATCAAAATGAAAAAGAAACTGATACTAATAACAATACATAAATAGCAGACTCACCAAATGCTTCAACCAATAATCTCAAATAACCCAGACACTTAACATAAAATGTAAAACAACTGGTAAAATTAGAAAAGGAGCATAATAGCAGAATATACTCACTAGATCTTCAAAGCCACCCCAAAATTAAATAGTATAAAACTGTATCCAATTTTAACTGTATAAATACCATAAGAAAATTATCCATTTTACGACCTAAGTCTACGAGCTTGTTAAGTACTAGACAAAATCTTGATAACAATTCAACTAAACCTGGGAATCCCAGGGGCAAAAGGCGAAGCAGCGCGGACAAGTGAGGAAGAGTAACCCTTGCAGTGGCAGATGCCGATAACAGCGAGGATCTTGCGAATGGATTGGAAGTCCTCCCACGGGGAGGGAAGGGATCCGCCGATTTAACCAAAAATTGAATGGCGTGTTGAGAAAATGATAAGTCCTGCTCCGGAGTCGGAGGAAGAAAGAGTGGTACCGCCGGAGGAAGAAGGAGTGGTATCTATGAGTTCAATTGAAAATTGAATTCTAAGCCTGGATCTAAATTAGGGTAACTTAAATATATATATAAAAAAAAAGTAATGGCAACGAGTTGTCCATGTTGCTAAAAGATTAATAGCACCATTCAAACGCGCGTTGCTAAAAAAATTAACGACAACGTGAACGTTGCGAAAACGGTTAATGGCAACTTTCAAACGTGCGTTGCTAAAAGAATTAACGACAACGAGCACTGAACGTTGCTAAAAGGTTAATGGCAACGTTCAAACGCGCGTTGCTAAAACATTCAAAGGCAACGCGCGTTGCGTGTTGCTAGAAGTAATTAACGGCAATGTGCATTGCACGTTGCTAAAACATTAATAGCAACGTGCATTGCACGTTGCAAAAAGAAAATTAACAGTAACGGATTTTAAACGTTGCAAAATGGTGTATTAGCAACATTCTTTAAAAAAACGCTGTTAAAAGTCTATTTTGTCAATCA